GGGATCTATGGGAGATAGGAGTTGAAGGAGACTGGATTTTGTTGGCCCAGGACAGGGTCCGGTGGAGGGCTTTGGTTAATTCGGTGATGAACCCCAGGGTTCGGTAAGCCATCTAGTTAGTTAGATGTGGCCATAATTTATCGCAAGTAACCTTTCCACTCCTTGATAAACCTCGGAAGAAAATTTTCGACATTTCAGGTCGAATTCGAATCCAGTAGTTCTGTGGTTCAACATGGTCACTGTCAGATAATTTTCATACAACCAAAAATGAAGATGCAGACTACGAAACGTGCACTGAAAATCAAAATTGAAGTTTTGGTATTTGTTAAACAGCGAGTAGAGACGAACACGAAGTAGGGAGTAGGCCTGCCTTCATGATCGAAGGGCAAATATATTACATTCTATTTTGTTACAATCTTCCAAAAACCGAGACATGCATTATTTGTGTATCCGTGTACATTTAGACGTCGTTAAACACTCGATCGTAATACTCGAAAGGAAAATTGTCATCCGGGGCTTTTGACTTCAGTAGTAGAGTTCGCTGTTGTCGGCAATGGAACGCAAAAGTTCATCGTAACAAATGTGAATGTTTTCCCGTCACGCTATGAGGACATTAGTCGCTGAACTTCAACGCAGAATTACCGCCCGCATTTCATTAATATTCTATAATCCTGAAGATGAAGAAACGTCCTGTCATTTAACGACGTCGAACAAACAGACTTGCAAAACTGAACCCAGCTTTTGTGTGGGTCTGACCTAAAGTTTCTGGCTCCTTATAAAGTATTTATCTGCATCCCCCACATTCACGTTTAGTTCCTGAGTCAATAATATCATCACTGTACTTGGTGATACAAAAATTTTAGTAAGAGTCGAAGATTGGACACTGAAACATGAATTGAAATGGATAACTGGTCACGCCGTGTATGTCTTCTGGGTTACGAACTTGTAAGTACGTTTAGAAGGAACATACTGTTTCCTACTTTTATGCTCGCCCTGAAGATGGAAGCAGTAATTTTCTCCGAAACGTTGATATCTGTTTTCAAGTCCACACGTTTTTACGGTCGGGTAAGACTAACACGAATATCTTCAGCATCTGGAAAACGTCAGAACTCTCGTATTGTGGTTAAGTATACTTAGATGTTAAGTAGATCAGGATGTTCACGGCTTGTCAGAACTCTCGTATTGTGGTTAAGTAAACTTAGATGTTACGTAGATCAGGATGTTCACGGCTATGACGCTTTGGATGTTTATAGGAAATTTTCCGAAATGTTCGTAATTACCTTCAAGGTGTGACAACCCGAACGACCAGAATCCACTAACCAAAGCTCCGTTGTACTTAATCAGAATGACTTCAATGAGCGATCAAACATGGCCTGGGTCTTTGCATTCGGGACAGCTAACCTAAGGATTATCGTCATTCTGAAGACGATCTTCCGACAATCCAGGGGTCATTACAGAAACCATCATCAGGTAAATCATTACCCTGATAATAGACTATAAACAATTCTGAAACTTCACCTGGTTACAGGGCGAAAGTATCTCAGAAAACAAGTCATCTTCACCCTCGTCGCCGTGAGAATCTGATATCTCACTATGTCCGTTCTGTTCTTTGATTTCTGTTAAAGGACAGAACACCAGATCGAGTTCCTACATTCTTATTGGTTCGTTATATATAATAACCTCATTAAACGTTACGTATCGTAAGGTCATCAGGCGTCGTAAAACATCCAGATGGACAAAGATAGTAGCTTATAAGCACTGGCACTGAATGAAACCCCTTATGGGCCCAAGGAATAGGAGCAGTGACAAAGTTTTAGGAAGTTTTCGTTAAAAGTATGGAAATTTAAATTAAAATATATTTCTCCTTTTAAATTCTTTTGTTTCCAAGACTTTCTCTCCATTTATCTATGAAATTCTTCTTTAAATTTTGATTCTCTAATGTTCCTTCTTTTTTTAGCTCGTGTTGTATTCTTTGTAGTCACCAGAATACCAGTAGTCTCGGAGACCCGTACGTAAAAATGTGTATTTTTATTTTCCTTCCACGTCGAAAAGTAGTTTAATAAATGTCCTTACCGCTCACAGCGTTGAAATGACACCGGTCCTGCTTGTACAGAACGCGGTCAAACACGAAGCAACTTTCCTCACAAACTCTCAACATCTTTTCAAATTCTCTTCACTGACAGTAACAACATCTGTAACTGATCTTAATTTAATAAGTCCTTTAACATATTCGTTTTTCTGTGATACATGATGTATTTTTGTTTCCGCGTGATAAAATGTTTTAGTTAGTCATACATAATTACTTCTTTTACACGTTGTACTATTCCTTTGGTGAGTGATCAGCCCATTGTAGAATATCTACCAATCACAAGACAGCGCAGGGTAACAGGAAGTTTAAGTAACTTTGCTGTCATGAGTGGCTTCGAACCTTTGACCTAAACTTGTAGCCTTCGACGATCTGGTCTTGTAGTGCGTGGCCACAAGGACGCGTTGGCATCATTTAATCGTCTGTTAAAACGTATCCATTACTTAAATTAAGTCATAGACCTTAACATTTATGGATCACTTAAGTACTCCTGTTTCGTATGCGTATTTTTACCCAGCTAAGGACCTCTTAGATTCACATACGTGTTTGTGTTCTGCTTTCACCTGCATCGTTACTGGTTTAATATATACTTTGTACAGTTTCAAGGTTGTGATCGACCACAGTATTTCAACACAACGTCTGAATTTAATACAAGTTACTTTAGTAAACATTTTAATTTATTATTAAAATATTTCCGTTTTGCATTGGTTTTATCTAAATTATGGATAGTTTTGGATTAAATAATATTAAATTTACTACACGGACACTAATATTTAATGAGAAACTGGTAGTTGTTTAGGTAGTCAAGATATCGCGTTCTCTTTTTGTAAAATCTTAAGATTCATTACTGTACTCACAAGAGCTCGCCACTTGGATCATACAAATTCAATCTAAAATATGATAACCTGTTTCATTACGATGTCCTTTAATCCTTCTTCACATCTACTCCTCGACGTCTTAAGCAGACATGTCCTTTATATATCCGGACTGAAATATTTAATGTATTTAAGGTTTATTTAAATGCATTCTTCATTTCCAGCCGATCCAATTCTCCTTTTGGGCTTTAATATTGATGGTACTGATTCTGTATTCTAGCAAAGTAGATGGTGTCTCTTTACGAGACACCGTTAATGCGTTAAGAATATCCTTGTATTATTTGTGATAGTATATTTTATAGATAAATATATCTGGTTGTAAAATTACATGACTGTTTTTGAACCTTTAGTAGATAAGAAAAAGAATCTCTTTCGCCGCTTGAAATAAAGTGCGATGGTCATTTGGATTCTGCAGCCAGCGAGGGTTGTCTGGCGCCGGCTATGAGGATTCTCATTGGCTGCGAACTCGTCCCTTGTGGCAGTGTAATAACACTTTAGAATCAAATACGGACCCGGCCTGGATCTGCTACGGTTCCAGTACGCTCCGTTCACGTGTAGTTTAAGCTTTACTACCAGATCCAATCGATCCCCCGTCTGAACATTCACAGTGAACATGGCTTTAGGCCTGCCCGCTCACTTCCTCAAGGCGCCAGTTTCTTCATCTGATATAGTAGTCTTAGTGGCTGGTTAGTGTCCGACTTTGTAGACTAGGACTCTTTTGAAAGCCATTTCCATTCTGAAGAAATTCCTCCAATGCTTTCAGTCAAAGAGAAGCCACGAAACATTTTAAACGTAGCGGTTAAGAATATTTGTCTTCCGTAATGACTAGTTCTGTTTTAAGACGATTAAAAAATTAGTTGTCAGATATTCTCCACAGATGAGGTTAGGCGGTAGATGTGAAGATGTATTCTGAGTTGTTGCTAAGTGAGCGTGGTTGACGTATACCGACGTTTCAGAGGTACTAACTGATGATAAAAGTAACACGTATTTGTGAAACGTGTGTAACATGATAACATATATTACATGATGTAACTAGGACGACTGTAATTTTTAGATTATCGAGTGTTTTTCTTTCTGCCTTCATCAGGAACAAGTCAGAGGTAGTAAGAACTTAAATTATAGGTCCGTTTGTAAGTGTTGATAGCGTTATCAGATATCTTGATCTGTTTTATCTGGCAGTTTTCTGTTTTCGCGTTGCTTTTGTTTTGAGAGAATCCAGGAGCACAATGCAACCGAAAACATTTATTTTTCCCCCTTCCGTGAAATCCTCATAAGCCACCACCCCACCCCTCGCCAAGCGCGGCGCGCTTTATAGGTTACGAACCGGGATGTTAGAGGGTTTATAAGCAAGTGACAGGATTGTTGGCCGGCTTAAAGTCACGCATTCGACAGTGCTGCCTTTTTAACGTGCGGTGCCTTGTGGAAATACTATCTTTTTTTTTTTTTCCTGTGATAAAATTTGATTTTGTGGGTTATGTTTCGTTGTCTACATCTGCTACTAAAATACTCTTT